AGTTCACAATGCTGCTGCAAATGCAATATAATGTGGACAACATTTAATAAATTCATTTTCGTCAGGTTAGATACTGATAATTAATCACTCAAAGCTCTTTATCTAAACCTCTCTACACAACCGTCCTCCGTATCGACTACGTGTCTGTAGTTTTTTAACACTTTTTACTCGTGTTTGTAGTTCTAACCGAATCCTCGTCAAACGCGCAATGGTTTGTGGGCAATATCAGCCGTTAGAGTGTGCATCGATCTACACTTCGGATTCTGACCGGAAAAAGTAGACCATCCGGGTATCTTTGAAACACTCATTTCAACATACTACGATTTGGGACGTACTAATTCTATTTTCGAATACTATTTAGGACGGATAGTATGCGAATTGGGACGCAGCAATACACAATATGCAGAGCAGTGGGTCGCGAGGACTGGAGTTGAGAACCCCTGGTCTAGAACTACAATAACCATCATGCTTACACACACACACACAAACCTTTGCACTTCCATTTGTCTCAAAATGAGGACAGGAGAGCTGTCAGTAAATAAATGTGAAAATAAGGTAACTTGCATTACTTCTTTGAAAAATTAACTCATATTTTGTGTTGTAAATTTAAAAGTAATGTTACTTTACTAGTTACTTGAAAAAGTAATCTGATTAACTCAAGTTACTCAAGTTACTTAATGAGAGTTACACACAACACTGAAAATGTGTCTCACACCGTGTTTTTTCAGCCTGGTGCGACTCGCAGTCAGATGCTGTTTATGCTGTGTGTGTTTCAGTGCCGACGTCGGGTGGTGTGTGTACCTTGTTCATGTTGAGCAGAGGGAAGAGCTGCTGGATCTTCTCCGGCTCGATGAGGAACTGAGGCGTGGGATGCCAGTGAGTTCGGGTCATCTGATATTTGAGCTCGTCGACTCGGACCGGAGTGGAGGCAATCCTGATGCTGCCCGGCTGATGGAAGCCCACGGCCTGCCACACACACACACATCGTTCAGACCCTTCAACACACTCTAACGAATCTCTGTCGCTAAACGAGTTACTGACGCGTCTGTCTCACCTGTCCCGTCTCGGCCTCCAGCTGCTCGAACAGTTTGATGCTGTAGTAATGAATCTTCTTCAGATTAATGCCTGGATGATAATATGTGGTGAGTCCCGCCTGTGGATGATGACATCATCAGCATCCTGTCATACAGACACTTGCACACAAATTGGTACACAGTGCACATTAACTAGTATAGGACGTGCATAACACACTAACTAGTATGGGACGTGCACACTAACTAGTAAAGAACGAGCATACCTTAGGACCCTAGCACCCTAATTAGCACCGTAACTGGTAACATACACACTAACTAGAAGAAGATGTGCACACTAACTAGCAATAGACATGTACACTAACTAGCAAAATAACTAGAAGTGGACGTGCGCACTGACTAGTAGAGGACGTGCACATTAACTAGCACAATAACAAGTAGTGGATGTGCACTCTAACTAGCACCCTAACTGGTAACATGCTCACTAACTAGTAGAGGATGCGCGCACTAACTTGGACATGAACACTAACTAGTAGAGAACATAAACACTAACTAGCAATAACTAGTAGTGGACGTGCACACTAACATACTAACAAGTAGTGGACGTGCACAAAAACTAATGGTGGATGTTCACACTAACTAGCACACTACCTAGTAGTGGATGTGCACACTAACTAGTAGAGGATGTGTAGAGTAACTAGCACAATAACTACTAGAGGATTTGCCCACCAACTAGCACACTAACTAGTAGTGGATATGCACACTAACTAGTAGAGGACGTGCACACTAACTAGCACAATAATTAGTAGAAGAAGTGCACACTTACTAGTAGAGGACATCCACACTAACACAATAACTAGTAGTGAATGTGCAAATTAACTAGTAGTGGATGCGCACACTAACTAGTAGAGGAAGTGCACAATAATTAGAAGTGGATGTACAAACTAACTAGTAGAGGACGTGCACACTAACTAGCACACTAACTAGTAGAGGAATTGCATAAGAATTAGAAGTGGATGTACAAACTAACTAGTAGAGGACGTGCACACTAACTAGCACACTAACTAGTAGAGGAATTGCATAATAATTAATAGTGGATGTGCAAACTAACTAGTAGAGGACGTGCACACTAACTAGCACAATAACTAGTAGTGAATGTGCAAATTATCAAGTAGTGCACGTGCACAATAACTAGCACAATAACTAGAAGTGGATGTGCAAACTAACAAGTAGAGGACATGCACACTAACTAGTAGAGATCGTAGCACACTAACTATCACACTAACTAGAAAAAGGATGTGCACACTAACTAGTAGAGGACATGCACAATAACTAGCACACTAACAAGTAGAGGATGTGCATACTAACTAGTAGTGGACATGCACACTAACTAGCACACTAACTATTAGTGGACATGCACAATAACTTTGTTACAACCGGCCGCTGTGTTTACATTTGTGTTTCCTAAATAATACATAAAATGTAGGTTCTGTCGTTATTCGCTGACACTTTCAAAGTGTCGTTTGACCCCTGACTCTATGTGTACCGCGTGCCACGTGGATCCGGCCGTCAGCTCCGACTTCTCCAGCAGAACTACATCCTTCTGTCCGGCTTTGGCCAGATGATACGCCAGACTGACCCCGACACACCCTCCACCGATGACCACCGTCTCTGCGCTGTCCTTCACACACTTCCTCAACGCACCATCTCTGAGAACATAAACACCTGTTACTACTAACTTTGTGAGGACTCTCCATACACGTAATAGTTTTTCTACTGTACAAACTGTATATTCTGTCCCCCTACACTAACCCTACCCATCACACACACACACACTGCCCCTATCCCAAAACCAACCCATCGCAGGAAACATTCTGTATTTTTACATTTTCAAAACAAAAACAAAAAAATCTGTATGATTTATAAGCGTGTTTACCCCTGGGGACTCAATTTAGGTCCACAGTGACACAAGTCCCCATGAGTCTGTGTGCATTCAGGTTCAAGTCCCCACCGGGATAGAAAAACATGTACACACACACTCTATCTCTTTCACACACACTCAGTCCTAACACAGTCACACACACACACACGAGCTCACACACACACACGCGCACGCACGCACACACACACACACACATAACAGATCACAGTTCAGATATTGTATGATCAGAGACGGAATCACAGTCACACACATGATTTCTGCAGAAATATTGGAGTTTTGAATTGTCTGCTAAAATAAACTTGATTAACAATTTAAACCAACACAATAAAAAACAATTGAGTTTTCCCTCAAATCTGTCATATAACTCATGTCATGTATTTCCTCAGATAACTCATATTTCCTCGGATATATAACTCATATTTCCTCAGATATATAATAACTCATATTTCCTCAGGTATATAACTCATATTTACTCAGATATATTATTATATGTGTTTCTCACCCGTCGTGCGTCTCCAAGCCCCGTGCGGGAACGCGCAGTGTGTTTCTCCCGACGCCTCGCCTCACGAGAGCGTCGAACGCGTTTAACACACGCGACATGTTGTGTTTGGGTCCGAATGAAGTTTTCTTGAGTTCAGCTCTGACTTTCCAAACAAGCGGCCACGCAGAAGCACGCACGAGCAGCGCGCGCACGCCTGTCAGACGCGCGGCGAGTTTAACAGCCTATGGGGGGATTCATATTCATTACAATTTATAAATGGCCAACATGAGACAACACTGAATAATAATAGGAAAACAGAATGATTGTTTCGATGTTTTTTCTCTCCTACACGCATGTGTGTGTGTGTGTGTGTGTGTGTGCGCGCACGGCACCCAGCATGTAGATATTATATGCACAGTGATGACCTGCAGTAATCTATCTTATAAACAGTCTGAGTGAATGAACAATCTGCTACACAAACAAAGATTGCAGCAGCCCTGTGTGTATGTGAGTGCGAGCGAGTGTGAGTTTGTGTGTGAGATGAGTAGGTTTATGGGTTAGTGTGTGTGTGTGTGTGTGTGTGTGTGTGTGTGTGTGTGTGTGTGAGATGGGTAGGTTTATGGGTTAGTGTGTGTGTGTGTGTGTGTGTGTGTGTGTGTGTGTGCGTGTGTGTGTGTGTGTGCGTGCGTGTGTGTGTGTGTGTGTGTGTGTGTGTGTGTGTGTGTGTGTGTGTGTGATGGGTAGGTTTATTGTTGTGTGTGTGTGTGTGTGTGTGTGTGTGTGTGTGTGATGGGTAGGTTTATGGGTTATAGTGTGTGTGTGTGTGTGTGTGTGCGCGTGTGTGTGATCCAGAGGAATGTTTGTGGACAGTAAAATGTGTCAAGGCAGCAGGAACACATGATCAATGTCTCTGCATCGCAACAGCTGAAGCTCAAACACACACCAGAGATAATCAGAGCAGATTTGATCTGATCAATAACACACACTCAGCTCAAAGACACATACGATCATCATGCATAATTCAGAGGGTTTTAGAAGTCTGCACTCCTGTTAAAACAGCTGGCTTCTGTTCTGAAAGAAATATAACACAGATAAATTATATCAGAGTTTTGGAACCTTTACTGTACAAATTAGTATTATTTCTCAACAAGTGTGCAAAAGTTCATGATTTATCTGTTACATCTCTCAAAAAGATGCCTGAACAAGTGTGTGAAGACTTGTCTTCATCTATTATGCAAGTTAATACAAGTTTGTAAAGACAGACTTTATTCTCTAGAGTGTTTATCTGTGGAATGTGACGTAAGACATCAGACGCATTATTGAATATCACTCTGATGATATTGATGTTCTAAGAATGAGACCAGTTTGAAAAATAAACATTAACCAGTAAACATTGTGAACCAGCTAGGTTACAAGGGGCCAATCTCTCTCTCTCTCTCTCTCTCTCTCTCTCTCTCTCTCTCTCTCTCTCTCTCTCTCTCTCTCACACACACACACACACACACACACACACACCCCTCCAGAGGTGCTTTATAAGAGCTCGTCTCATGTGTATCTCACTCCAGTCTCACTGAGCTCTCCATCTGTGTGTGTGTGTGTGTCTCCATTGGTCCTGATCTACAGAAGAATATGGCACCAGTCGGGTCCAAGAGGGTGAGTTCGTCGCCTTGGGCTTCTGTTTTACTAATTTGGAGACATTTAATGTAATATTCGACAATATTTTTGATCTCCTGCATTGACCGCATTATATGAAAACTGAACTGAGCTGGACGATGACAACACGGTTTTCTCGAAAGCGTCTATATATATATATATAAATGAACTAAGTTAACAACTTTTTTACAACAGATGAGCATCACTGAATTTACTTAAGCTGGACTGTGACGCTATTATCTTCTCCAAACAAACCTGGTTGCATTAATTTACTGTTATCTCTGTAAAGCGCTATGTAAATAAGGCTGACCGAGTAACTCGTCGAGAAACTTCCCCGGGTCTTCACACAGTCGCCAGCGCGCGTTATCTTTACACGAACAGCGCGATTGCTCACGACGCACTAGATCCTGCAGGATTATTAATTCCAGCTATGAATATTTTCATTTATCTCTCTCTACATCAGGAGAAACACACAAACGAGTTAATGCGGTTAACAGATGGGCGCGCGCGTCTCTCTGCGGTGAGTGTGTGTGTTTTCGCCTAATGTCGTGCGCGCGCGTGTGTGTGTTCAGGGTATTCTGGAGCGCCTGGGCGCGGGTGAGGTGGTGATTGGAGACGGAGGGTTCGTTTTCGCCCTAGAGAAGCGAGGATACGTGAAGGCCGGACCCTGGACACCAGAGGCCGCAGCTGAGCACCCGGAGGCCGGTGAGTGTGTGTGTGTGTGTGTGTGTGGGTGTAGAATTGTTGCATTATTCCAAATAAATAGATTATGATCCACAAAAAATGTAAAGAGATTCACAGAAATGTATCAAATTCACAAATAAATAGATTAAGATCCACAAATAAATGTAAAGTTTAACAAAAAATATAAAACTCACAAATAAATAAAATGAGATTTGCAAATAAAAAATCTATATTTACAATTGTTTTTTTTTTATGTTTTATTTTACGTTTTTAAATACACAGCAGGTCCGTGGATCTAATTATCCATAGTATCGTTACATTAAATGCGTCATGCATTTAAAAGTGAAATACCCAGCAGACAAGCTATTTGCATTTATTTATCCATTAAAACACTTATCACACAATTAATATTTCATATAATTTTTACTGTAAAAATTACTTACAGCATCCAAAATGAATGCAAAAATCTATTTTTTTCATGATCCACTCAAAACCCCAGTATAGCCCACATGCTGTTACATCTTCAATGATGGTCATTTAGGCTGATATTTGGTATTCTACATAATAGTTATGTCCTATAGTTAGCTATTTGTCACCACGATTGTACTTTAAAAGACAAAAGCATCCCTTTTGTCATTTCTTGCATCGTGTCTACCCCGTGCGAGTCTGTCTAACGTTACACTGGACAAAGCAATATGAAGGTAAATTAGTAGCAAAACTTGAGAGCACGTAGATGTGAGTTGGAGAACTTGTACAATAAATATTCGTACGTGTACGCGAACATTTACACTCACAGCTCCAGTGTGAAAACCTGTAAAATAAAAATCTGAAAATGAACTCTGAGATTTGCACTCCGAGTCAGACGATAGTCACAAAACTGTATTCTGAATTTGAAGCTGCAGACAAGCAGTCACAAGTGTGTAAAATGCCATTCACAAAGATAAAACGACAGACACAAACTTGCAATACAAATTTGCACTTCTTCTAACATTCAAATTCGCAGGACAACCTCAAATTGGCACTTGCAACATCTCAAATCTGTCACTGCAAGTTCAAATTTTGCGCCCTGACTATTGTTACTCTTTTCGCGATAGATGCAAAACTAACTTGTGCACTTGTAACTCAGTAGTGGGGAGAGAGAAAACGTCTCTGGTTACGTATGTAACCTTAGTTCCCTGAAGGGAACGAGACGCTGCGTGTAAACGCCGTGGGAACGCCTCTGCGTGATGAGTCATGAAGCACGTATGAAATCTGTCCAATGGCGAGACGGAACGTCATAGGCGGGGTGACGTATCGACCAGGAAACTATAAAGCATCCCCGAAACACAAGCGCAACAGCTTCTGATAGGACTGAAGCAAGCGCTCACGGGCATGCTGGGAGTATGGCATGGACACGCAGCGTCTCGTTCCCTTCAGGGAACTAAGGTTACATACGTAACCAGAGACGTTCCCATTCAGGGAACTTCGAGCTGCGTGTAAACGCCGTGGGAACGCTAATACCAACGCCGCCATGCGAGCAGGTGTCCGTTGTATGAAATCAGGCACACATTTAGACGAAAGCACCTGCGCCCCTGGAGCGGAGCTACCATACCCCTGGTTGAGTGAGCCCAGACAGCCAAAGGAGAAGGCTGACCGGCGGACTCATATGCAAGTGAGATGGCCTCAACCACTCACTTACTCAACCTCTGCTTAGATGCGGGACAACCTTTCTTCGGAGGTCCAAAACAAACAGATAACTGTTCAGGCTTTCTCCACAGGGCAGCTCTGTGGACATAAGCATCTAGAGCCCTCACAGGGCAGAGCAGATTAGTTTCTCTTGGTCTGACTTTCACAATACCACGAAGAAAAAGAATTACCAATGGGTATCTCCCGTGAAAAGCTCCACTCAAAGGGACGTGGTAAGCAGATAGGCCACCACATACACCTTTAGTGTGGAGTGGGATAACCCTGTGGAGAAACGCTCCTGAAGGAATTTCAGCACCGCCACACCGGGCAGTTAACTGGGTCCAACTGGTGTTCTCCACACCAAGAGGTGAACCATTTCCACCTCAAGGCATAAAATCTCCTCGTGGACGGAGCTCTGGATTGGAGGATGGTCTCCACGACCTCAGTCGAGAGACCTGATTCTATGAGCTGGGCCCCCTCAGAGGCCAAGCCCACAACCTCCATAGATCTGGGCGGGGGTGAAGTATCGACCCGCATCCATACTCGGGCCGGCCAACACGGGGCTACTAACAGTAGAAAGACCCCGTCTCGGTGAACCCTCTCCAGAACTCCTGGGAGCAGAGCAATCGGGGGAAATGCGTACAGGGGTGACCTCGGCCACTCCTGTACCATCGCATCCAACCCCAGAGGGGCTGGTGGATACAGAGAAACCACAGCATGCAGTGTCTCAGTCCCTGGATTCAAATAGGTCTACCTCGGTATGACCGAAATGACTCCATAGGAGCTCCACCACCTCGGGGTGGAGTCTCCACTCCCCGGGCCTCGGCCCCTGCCTCGACAGGATGCTCCCCGATTTAAATATCCTGGGATATATAATCGCCAAAGAAAGAAGCTTCCCCTGGGCCCACAGAAGGATCTGGCACTAGCCTGAATAATGGACATGAGCGCAGACCCCCTTGATGGTTTATAAAAAGACCACCGATGTGCTGTCTGACCGGACAAGAACATGGTGACCCCTCAGGTCTGGGAGAAAGTCCACAGACCCCGGGCCGAGCGACCACTCATGATCGCCCCCAGCCCGTGAGGGAGGCGTCCATCGTTAGCTTCTTTGGAACAATGAAGTAACGGCTGTAATACCCCAACTCTCTGTCGGGGGGGAAGAACTCGTTCTATCGCCCCCTTCAGTAACAGAGCTTTCACCTCTTGTTCCATGACCAGAGCCTGCTCGGGGGATACCACTGTAGGCAAAATCCCCCGAAAACGAGGCGGACGTGACCTGAACTGGATCGCGTACCCGCGTTCGATAGTCTGCAGGACCCATCGAGATATATTTGGAAGACTTTCCCATTCTGCCAGAAATTCTACTAAGGGTACCAGTCTCTCGAGACTGGCCTCTGGAGTAATTTTAGAGACAGAAACAGCGCCCTGTGACCGCGCACAGGCAGGGTTTAACGACTGTTCTGTATCGCTCCTCGGAGCAAACGAGCTTCCCTCGGGAAACCGCTCGCTGGGACCGTCTGTGCCCACCCTCACAGGCAGGTTCAGCAGAACGGGTCCCTGAGGGCACCGTGAGAGAGTGGGCGCCATGCCCAGCGGCGAACACCTCTCTCTCACGGTGGGGACCACCCTCAGCATCCTGACACCAGTGGCGTCAGGACCTTTTCGACGAGGCCTTCCTGGCAGCAATAACCGTCCTCAGATCGGTTCTGTCCCGGGAAGACCTCGCCTGAGAGTGCCGCGTCTCAGCCAGGTTTTGCTGGGGAGGAGCGCGAGACACGACACTCTTCTTTTGCTGCGCCCTATCGATGAAGAGCCCGACGGGTGGGGCTGCTCCCGCCCAGCAGCCCCAGGGACGTGAGAGCGGCGGGGGAGACATTTTTGGAGCGCCGCCGCCTGCTTTCTGCCTTCCTGAAATCTTTCGATAACAGCGTTTACTGACCGAAAAGACCATCAGTTGACAGCGGCGCATCCAGGAGAAATGCCTTATCTTTCTCCTTCATACTCGCTAGGTTTAGCCATAAATGTCTCTCCGTGGCCACCAGGGCTGCCATAGAACGGCCGACTGATCTGGCCGTCTCCTTGGTGGCACGGAGAGAAATATCCGCCGCCTGACGCAGCTCTTTAATAGTGTCAGAGCTGACGACCTCCCCCTCACTCATATCTCTTAGCAGATCTGCCTGATACGCCTGAAGTATAGCCATAGTGTGTAAGCAAGATGCTGCCTGTCCCGCCGCCGAATAAGCTTTGCTCACCAAAACCGAAGTATTTCTGAGTGGTTTGGTGGGCAACGCCGGTGTTTTAAAGGACGACGCCGTTTCAGGAGAAAGATGGCTCGCCAAAACTTCCTCCATCCTCGGCATCGCCCCATCCTAGACCCAGCAATATTTGAATACATAGATGTCTGATGTGTCAGTATTCTAGCAGACACTGGTTTGTTCCACGATCTACACACCTCGGTGTGTAAATCGGGGAAAAAAAGGGGCAAACACCGGCGTGGAGGTTGCGAATGGGAAGACAAAAATCTCTCGTCTAATTTACTTTTCACTCTCGACTCCTGTTTTTCGGCTGGCCACTCAATACTAAGTTTCTCTACAGCCCGAGTCAAAACCTCCATCAGCTCAATACTTGCGGGAGACTGGGATGGCGAGTCCCCGATCTCCACTGTATTTATTTATTTATTTATTTTTTAGTCCACAGACATAATCTCACTTTCAACATCCGCACTTTCAACATCCAGTTCCAACATCCGCACTTTCAACATCCAGTTCCTCGGAACTGGATAGTTGAAGTGATGGAGCCTCAGCCCGGGCAGGAGAAACCGCAACGCGGACCCCCACACCGAGAGCTGAGGCGCTGGATCTATCAGGTAAGGGCAGAGAAAAGGCAGAGCCCGTCTCCATCCCCGCTGATAGATCCACTTGCGATCCCCACGACGCAAGCCTTCGCTGTGCCTCGGCAGCAGCGGGACCCGAGCCGCGGGGAACGCGAACCGAACCACTCTCCTCGAAGACTGCCCGGCGGCAGCGGAGCGTCTTCATGGGCAGACACTCGCAATGCTCACAGCCAGCCCCCTCGAGAGCTGACTGGACATGCTGTACTCCCAAACAGGCAACATCCCCACCCGTGATGTAGCGAGGGCAGGGATGAACACACTTTCTGAAACGCTGCTGTTTACTCGCCATAATATTTTCTCTTACAGATAAGACAAACTTTCTTTTAGACAGACAATGATTCATACATAGAGCGCTTTGCTGAAGACTCAGAAGCTGTTGCGCTTGTGTTTCGGGGATGCTTTATAGTTTCCTGGTCGATACGTCACCCCGCCTATGACGTTCCGTCTCGCCATTGGACAGATTTCATACGTGCTTCATGACTCATCACGCAGAGGCGTTCCCACGGCGTTTACACGCAGCTCGAAGTTCCCTGAATGGGAACGGGGCGGGAGCAGGGGTGTTCAAACGAGCCGTTTTATTGGTTGGCGCCTCACCAATGAAATGGGACTTCTATTGTACGAGATGAAGTCACGAAACTCGTCTCCTCGTGGATATTCTGAAACGCAAACATTGCTTAACCCTCATGTGCTCTTCGTTTCGGAGTCACACTTGTTATCTTGCCGGTCAAAAGTGACCGGACACCTAAAAAGGAAACTTTCTCCATCCCAGTAAAACCAATGCAATTTATTTTTGTTCTATAATATTTATTCTTTTTAATTTAGCATTTTGAGACAATTTAATTGAATTTATTAATATTTATGGAATATTTATGGTTTATTTTTACCATGGAAAAATATATGAAGAGTTCAGATGCAAAAGCCTCTAAGTGCCATTTGAAATTTTCTTCTAAAATGATCATTTTTATCAAGCTTGTATATTTAAGTTCAGTAATTTCACTTAAATGGCAATGAAGATTACCTATTAATTGCCATTTAAGTGAAATTACTGAACTTAAATATACAAGCTTGATAAAAATGACCATTCTAGAAGAAAATTTCAAATGGCATTTAGAGGCTTTTGCATCTGAACTCTTCATATATGTTTTTATATATGAAGAGTTCCATTTGAAGAGTGCCATTTGAAATTTTCTTCTAAAATGATCATTTTTATCAAGCTTGTATACTTAAGTTCAGTAATTTCACTTAAATGGCAATGAAGATTACCTATTAATTATCATTTAAGTGAAATTACTGAACTTAAATATACAGGCTTGATAAAAATGGTCATTTTAGAAGAAAATTTCAAATGGCATTTAGAGGCTTGTGCATCTGAACTCTTCATATATATGATTTTTTTTAAATATTAATGCAGTATTTTAGTTTAATATAGAGTCTAGGCCTTCAGAAAAAAAAATATTTTTTGAAGAAAATTAGCACCATCTGGTTACAGTATAGAGAAAAAGCATAGAATCATGGTGAGCATAGGATCATGCCTCTATGGAGAGGCATGTGAATTCCCCAGCTGTTTATGAACCCCTTTTTTGTTGTTGTTGTTGTTGTTGGTGGTGGATTTGAATATATAGTTGAAACAATCTCAAAAACAATTTCTTATAAAAAAAAATTGACAAAAAACAAATAATTCACTTTTTTTTTCTTTTTTTAACAATTTCCCATTCATTTCCTATGGGGGTCATTCACAAAGAAATAAATTAAGTTATCAAACTTAGTAAACACAATACTAATATTTACAGAAAAGCAGATGAGCACAGAATATGATGAAATAATAATAATGTATAACAAATTGTGTGGTTTTTTTAATAACTGTAGGTCCATTAAGCCTCAGTGAGTGTTTTCTTGGTTTTCTATGAGAGGAAAATGCTTAACTTACAATTAAACAAGTTGCGTTCATATTCTGCTCAATTGCTTTTCTCTATGCTTTATTTATGGTGTTTCCTGAGTTTGGTCTTTTAATGCCACTGTCTTAATTTAACATGTTGCGTTCATATTCTGTATTCTCCTTTTCTATAGTATGCATTATTAGTATGCTGTTTACTAAGTTTGATAATATAATTAATTTCTTTTAAATCCGTCTAATGCATTAACACATGTTAGCGTTTCAGAACATCCACGAGGAGGCTGGTTTCGTGACATCTTCACGTACAATAGAGGTCCCATTTCATTGGCTAGGCACCAACCAATAAAACGGCTCTTTTGAACATTTGCACATTTTTCTCCATTCTCTTTGGATGGGGGTTCCCATACATCCCGAATGCGTCTCGGAGGGCTTTACACCTGGCTTCTCCATCACAGCCCCTGAAGCACATTCATGATCATGACAGTCATTCAGGAACATGCTATATTGTATCAGAGTTAAGATCCCTTATTTGTAAGTGTGTTTGCACAGTCTGCCCAGATCAGTTACAGCGGGTCATGTGTGTGTGTTTTGTGTGTGTAGTGCGACAGCTGCACAGGGAGTTCCTGCGGGCCGGCTCTAATGTCATGCAGACCTTCACTTTCTACGCCAGCGACGACAAGCTGGAGAACAGAGGGAACAAGCTGACGTACACCGTGAGCCACACACACTCTCTCACTTTCACACACACTCACAGTCACTTTAACACACACTCACTCTCTTTCACACTCTCACACGAGCTCATGGTGACACTCATCCTCCCCGCGGCTCATGTTAACCCCAAACTCTTTCTATTCAAAATTAAGTCTGCATCAGAGTGTTCAAGACTCAAGGACTTTTGCCACACTTGAACCATGAATACACACAACAAACTCAATGGATTCGAGGAGTTTTGTGGTTGAAATTTAAAACAGTGGTTGCTGGTGTGTGTGTGTGTCTGAGCGCAGGGCCAGCAGATTAACGAGGCGGCGTGTGACCTCGCCAGAGAAGTGGCCAATCAGGGCGATGCGCTGGTGGCGGGCGGAGTCTCGCAGACACCCTCTTACCTGAGCTGCAAGAGCCAAGAAGAGGTCACCAAGATCTTCAAGAAGCAGCTCGACGTCTTCATCAAGAAGAATGTGGACTTTCTGATCGCAGAGGTGAGGAACATCATCACATTCAGAGCTCATTCTAGATCCCAGACAGCGACGGAGCCAGCCCAGGCTCTCCTTTATAGAACTGTGTCCTTACTGAAAGTGTGCGTGCGCCGAGAGCCAGGAATGGGGTTATAAAGGGGATTAGCGCCGGCTCTGGCGTACGCTGCTTTACAACACTGAATATTTTTAAGCGTACGCCAGAACCTGCGCTAATCCCCTTCATAACCCCAGTCAGAGGAAGATGGAAGACACGCGTCTACTCCCGGGAGTGACCATATATGAGCTGACCAGGCCTCGCTCCCTATATCCTCATCTGCATATGCACATTCATCCCCGATATCCATGTGTAACGGGACGAGACATTAGGAGAATATGAGAGACGGATGTACGTCACAATACAGTGCTAACAATCATTTAGTGGCCGATCCTTGCCTTGTTTATGAGTAAAGAAATCAAAATACATTTCAGAGACAGTTTTTCTCAATCTTTTCACTGGCCAAATAGTGTTATTAATTGTATTATATTTTTAATGGAAACAGATATGCGTTATTGTGCATTATTGATCATTATTGGGAGTAAATATTTCCTCAGAGCACGAGTTCTGCTGTTATCATGCGCTAAGCAAACAATAAAACACATGCCTGGAGAAGTGTTCAACAGCAGCGCATACACTACTAATATTTCTATTGATCTGAATATAATTTCATGTTATTATAGTGCCATTAATCTAAATGTGTTTATCAGTTGTAAAACAGGGTTTAAATCTTTCTTTTATTTATCTAAACTGTTACTGTGAACATGGACAGTATTTATGATTAGGACTCATAATGAATATTACAGTGGTTTTCTTCCGTCAGTCCCTCAGATCTCCACCGGTATCGCCAAACTCCTCCGTCTCCAGACTTCCGTAAGCAAATATTCCCGTCACGTGTGTTTTTATAACTCATAACTGGTGCGTGGGAAGTGGCTCGTTCAGGGCCTGTTCTGTGCGACGCTACAGTTATAAATGAGACCCCGGATGTGGTCTGGATCTGGGCCGACACTGTTGCTGTATGCGATGCCATTAGTCTGGTTATTGATTGATTGATTGATTGATCTGTTGGCAGTACTTCGAGCACGTGGAGGAGGCCGAATGGGCCGTCCAGGCTCTGAAGGCGACAGGGAAGCCTGTAGCGGCCACGATGTGTATAGGACCTGAAGGAGACATGCACGGCGTGAGCCCGGGAGAGTGTGCCGTCAGACTGGTCAGAGCAGGTGCGTCTCACAGACACACACATGCCTTTATGAAGCGCTGGGTGTGGTCTGATGTCCTGTGGTGTGTTTCAGGTGCTGATATCGTGGGTGTGAACTGCCACTTTGACCCCATGACCTGTGTGAAGACCGTGGCCCTGATGAAGGCGGCCGTGGAGAAAGCCGGTCTGAAAGCGCATTATATGGCGCAGCCGCTGGCGTACCACACACCCGACTGCAGCTGTCAGGGCTTCATCGACCTGCCCGAGTTCCCCTTCGGTAAACACTCACACACACACACACACACACACACCCGACTGGAGCTGCCAGGGCTTCATCGACCAGCCCGAGTTCCCCTTCGGTACACACACACACACCCGACTGCAGCTGCCATGGCTTCATCGACCAGCCCGAGTTCCCCTTCGTTACACACACACACACCCGACTGGAGCTGCCAGGGCTTCATCGATCAGCCCGAGTTCCCTTCGGTACACACACACACACCCGACTGCAGCTGCCAGGGCTTCATCTACCAGCCCGAGTTCCCGTTCGGTACACACACACCGTAATCACTGCTGTAGATCACTCTAAAAACCACTGCCTTAAAAACAACACAATTTGGGTTGATTTTGCCCCAAGGGCTGGGTAAATATATATAGGACAGATCACCCAGCAAATTGGGTTGTTTATTTAACCCAGCATACTGGGTTTATTAATTTTTTTTATTTTACTTCATATATGAATTTTTGGGTTGTTACGTCTGACCCAGGATCTGGCTAACATGAAAACTACCCAAACATTGGGTTGTAATGTTTGACCCAGGATCTGACTAACACAAAAACTACCCAAGCACTGGGTTGTTACGTCTGACCCAGAATCTGGCTAACACAAAACCTACCCAAACATTGAGTTTTTACATCTGACCCAGGATCTGGGTAACAAAAACAAAAAAATTACCCCAAAAATTGAACAAAAAGACTCAAACCAGGATTTGGGTAGAAAAAATTACCCAAGATGGTTTATAGTGTAATAAGATGAACCCCAGCTTATCGGTATGTGTGTGTGTGTGTCTCAGCCCTGGAGCCGCGGATCCTGACGCGCTGGGAGATGCAGCAGTACGCCAGGGAGGCCTATAAGGCGGGCATTCGCTTCATCGGCGGCTGCTGCGGGTTCGAGCCATATCACATCCGCGCAGTAGCCGAGGAGCTCGCGGTCGAGAGAGGAATTCTGCCCGAGGCCTCAGAGAAACACGGCATGTGGGGTGCCGGCCTGGAGATGCACACCAAACCCTGGGTCAGGGCCAGGTGAGAGAGAGTGTGTGAGAGAGAGAGCGAGAGAGAGAGAGAGATAGATAGAGAGATTATTGTTTCTTTTTGTATTGGATTGGAATGCGATATCCAACTGCAATCGCTGATTTCTTGGACTGGGCAAATGTCTATTTTCCATTTATTATGAAGTGATTGTTTGTTCTTTACTGTTATTGAAAAGCGTCCTTGAGCTTGGCAAAGGTGCTATAAAAATTAAATGTGCAGTGTGTAAGTTTAGCGGAATCTAGTGGTGAGGTTGTGAATTGCACCCAACAGTGGCCGACAGGAAGTGATGTCGTCGTCTGAGACAGCAGAGAGTCTCCAGTTAAACAATGAGGTTTCTTTACAAAGATCTATTAGGAAATTACATTTACTTAAAGGGTTAGTTCACCCAAAAATGAAAATTAAGTCATTAATTACTCACCCCCATGCTGTTCCAACCCCGTAAGACCTTCGTTCATCTTCGGAACACAAATAAAGATATTTTTGATTGAATCTGAGGGCTGGATCACTCTTCCATTGGCTTCTAAGGGACTGGCTCTTGACGGCCCATAAAGTCATTAAAGAAAATGTTTAAATGTTCCATGTGCCTACACGGCTCAATTATAAGTTTATCAAGCGACGAGACTACTTTTTTGAGCGAAAAAAACATAAATAACGGCTTTATTCGACTATTCCATTACTTCCTTATTGGCGCATGCGCGAGAACTGAGACGAGGACGTTCTTATTCGACCACTTCTTGTTACCGGCTGCTCACCGCTTAGGAGTTTTACCGCCCCCTACCGTATAAGATGATAATAAGGCACACTGTCGTTTTTTGAGAAGATTAAAGGCTTTTAAGTGCACCTTGTAGTGTGGAAAATACGCTAATTGAAAAGCGTATGTATAGTGCGCATCTTCCTCTGCTTGTAAACAGAAAGTTTTGCACTTCTAGCTATATATATCAGCACATCATCTTATACGGTAGGGGGCAGTAAAACTCCTAAGCGGTGAGCAGCCGGTAACAAGTCGAAGGAGATCGTCCTCGTCTCAGTTCTCGCGCATGCGCCAATAAGGAAGTAATGGAATAGTCAAATAAAGCCGTTATTTATGTTTTTTTCGCACAAAAAGTAGTCTCGTCGCTTGATAAACTTATAATTGAGCCGCTGTAGGCACATGGAACATTTAAACATTTTCTTTAATGACTTTATGGGCCGTCAAGAGCCAGTCCCTTAGAAAGCCAATGGAAGAGTGATCCAGCTCTCAGATTAAATCAAAAATATCTTTATTTGTGTTCCGAAGATGAACAAAGGTCTTACGGGGTTGGAACAGCATGGGGGTGAGTAATTAATGACTTAATTTTCATTTTTGGGTGAACTAACCCTTTAATTATTAAATAAAACTATGTTATTGTGAATATTATTGTTACTTGTTCATCATTGTTTCAGTGTTCTACTCACTGACTTTAGCAGCTTCTTTACACGCAAAACAACACAGTGGCGAAACACGTTTGTCCGCTCAGGGCCACTGTAGAAACATGTGGATGTAAGCGGACCTGCGTTGTGTGTGTAGAGAGAAACGCCTCATTCTAAGCTTATAGACACACAATGGTTCATTATGTAAAGTTTTTATACACCTCTGAACACATAATAATGTGTATGATATTGCATTTCTGTCAACAGATCCTCCTAAATATTACACACTGCACTTTTAAACATATTGTTTTGATGATGTCGCTGTGCTCCTCAGGGCACGTCGTGATTACTGGGAGAAACTGAAGCCCGCGTCGGGACGCCCGCTGTGCCCGTCCATGTCCACGCCCGACGGCTGGGGGGTCACCAAAGGTCACTCCGAGCTCATGCAGCAGAAGGAGGCCACAACCCAAGACCAGCTGCGCCCGCTCTTCCAGAAAGCCGACGCCAAAAACTGACGGGGTCAGAGGTCGAGCCGAGAGAAGCAAGTTCTCCTCCTCGGTGTCGTTTATCAACCAAACGCCACATGTGACCCTGGAACACAAAACCAGTCACAAGGGTCAGCTTTTTAAATTTGAGATTTATACATCACACGAAAGCTGAATAAATAAGTCTCCACTGATATGTGGTTTGTTAGGATAAGACAATATTTGGCCGAAAAATCTAAACATTAAGAAAATCGCCTTGAAAGTTGTGATGTTCCCGATTGTGATGCATTCACTCTCTAATATAAATGTTTGATATTTACGATTGGAAATTTACAAAATATCTTTATGGAACATGATCTTTACTTAATATCCTAATGATTTTTGGTATAAAAGGAAAATGGATAATTTTGACCCATTCAATGGACAGTTGGCACAGAAACACACGTGCAACTCGAGACTGGGTCTGTGATCAGGGTCACATGTCATGAATGGGATTGTTTACTTCAGCAGGACCAGACGTTCTGTAGAAACCAAATAAATGTGTTTAAAAGTTTAATGTAGCGTTTGGAGGTGTAATCGGCATGTTCTACTCTCCAGTCTTCAGACGACTGCATTCCAGATGTGCAGAACACTCCAGTCTGACGCAGCGTTTCCATTTTTGATTGCTCAATAAACGTCATCATGATCTCACCACTCGCAGTCTCACTGCTTTATTAAAGTGTTTCTCCTTGTGGGGAAAGTTCAGCTTTTAATGTAGTTTATGTGTCTATGTTGTGTTTTTAATGTGCTTTTAAGACACACCATGCGTAAATTTACAAGTCGACAGCATTACTGAGTATTTTCTACTTAAAACTGCAGTGAACCAAAGAAATCTCTGGTGTTTCTGACATCACAAACGACCTTGTAACCGATCAGATCAACGTGTGATCGTCAACCAGTGGATCTCTGAGCAGAGAAAGTTAGTGGAGGCGGTGCTCATCTGCATATTCATATACTAAATGAGACGAGGGTGTCGAGTTACATTCAAGATATTTTAAGCCATGAAGGAATGTCATTTTTTGGTGATCAAAGATGAGTTTTAAGGGACAAAATGATTGACTACAGGCGGACTTTAAATTCATAAAAGAACTGGGCCCGTATTCATAAAGAATCTTAATTCAAGGAGTAGCTCATAGTGAGAATATTAGGTTTCAATCTATATATCGTCTTATTTACTCACTGTCATCTATTGTCTGCAACACATTTCGATAACACTTTAGAAAACGGTTCCTTCGTTAATGAATAACTACACAAGAACCAATGATTAACACAGTATTAACAATCTATAACTATTAACAAGAAACTCTTATAACGAACTAGTAGCGCACAGATGAAAGTGTTAGTTCATTATTAACTAATCAATAATTCACTGCTTTTTTTTAATACTTCCCAGAGAACTACTGAAAATGTTTATGAACAATCTAGTAACTACTATTAACTAAAAAAACTCTGATCATGAATTAGTAAGTAATAGTGCTCAGATGAAAGTGTTACTACATACTTCTGTGGGAATTACTAATTATTTGGATCCGTATTATAAGTGAAGATCATTGAAACTAGTAATGACTCAACATGATTTAATCATGATTTGTGCAACCGTTTAAGATTTTTGGTGAACTTTAGTGTACTATTAGAAAATGTCTTTAGTAACACTTGAGTCATTAGGCTACTAGTGTCACGATACACACACACAGGAAACGTTAGATCCAAATGCAGTATTTTTAATGGGAAATCCGTACTCACAAAACCAGTCCAGGCAAAGGGTCAAAATTCCAGAAAGGCAGTCCAAAAACATAAAACAAACAAGAAGCAGACAGAATGCAGACACCCGAAGTGTGGTGACAAGAAACAAGAAACAAAACAAGAACAGGCAAGAAAACAGACCTCGGAAGTGTTAGTGACATTCAGCAACGAATCCGTAAAACAAACTAACACAGACAGGGAATATATACACAGAACTAACAAGACTAACACAGAACAGCTGGGAACAATGATTACAGGGAACAGCTGAGTGCAATGAACTGATGAGTGACAGTGACAGACAGAATGCTGGGAAATGCAGTTCCAGAATTACATGACACCGAGGGGAAGGAGGACATCTAGTGGACAAACAAGGAAACACAACCAGACACTGTGACAACTAGTTAGTGCATGGTCTTCACTTAATACGGATCCAAATAATTAGTAATTCCCAAAGAAGTATGTAGTAACACTTTCATCTGTGAGCTATTACTTACTAATTCGTTTGTAATTGTTTCTTTTAGTTAATAGAAGTTAGATTGTTAATAAACTTTTTTAGGAGTTCTCTGGGAAGCATTAAAAAAATAGTAGTTATTTATTACTTATTAGTGAACTACCACTTTCACCTGTGCGCTATTACTAGTTCGTTAATTAGAGTTTCTTGTTAGTTAATAATAGTTACTAGATTGTACTGTGTTACTAATTGGTTCTTGTTTAGTTATTTATTAACGAAGGAACCGTATTCTAAAGTGTTACCGACATTTCTTCTCCCTCTTCGTCTTTCTGCCATTTTCCTCTTGAGCCTCTTGAGTCCTCGATCGTCCATACGCATAACAATTTTGACCTTAAGACCTCTTTTAAGGGTTAAGAAACTCTATGAATTTTATTTTCTCTTTACTAGGATTTTTACTTTAATTTTAAGAGTAAACACCCACATTTGTAAGAATGTTCTTAGAATTTTGTAGCTACTCTTTGTATTAAGATTCTTTATGGATACGGGCCGTGCAGTTTTACTGATTAAACACAATGTGTTTTCTTGCTTAGATAAAAGAGTTTTGTGCTTTAATCTAGTTACAGTATCATGTGAAAGTGCAGCTCTTAAGTCACTTTAACTTAAGCATCATGATCCAGAACCGTCTGAATATGAACATCCACTAAAGAAAAAGGAGTTGATTACAGTTTTTCTGAATTGCTAAAACACATTTCTTGAAACTATCACTCACTTTCTCAAAACCTTACAAAACCACACTTTTACACCACATTCACAGAACCTCTGACTCTTCTGGCAAAATCAAACAATTGCCTCAAAACCATTTTACCTGTGCTCAAAATCAAACAAAGCACTCAGATCATACACACACACACACACACACACACACACACACACACACACACACACACACACACACACACACACACACACACACATACACACGAGTCAAAATTATAAACACTACAGATCATTCATTAAACACTACATAAAAATGGAGAACACAGTATTCATAACATGCAGTAGAAATATAGTATATTGTAACAAAGTAAACAAATTTTGCAATTATGTAAAAAGGTATAATGACAATACAGTAATAAGGTGGTTAAATTCTGTACTGTATCCACTGCAAGTAGTATTGTACTGAATATTGAATAGTAGGCAAATCAAATGTCTGTACACCATCCACCAATTGCATACTGTGTTAATACAGCAACCCAACTACAACAGCCAAAAAGGTTACAATAAAAAACTCTCAATGAAAAGCATGTTACAGTAAAGTACACTCAGAGTTGTGCGACTGCAGAATCAAGGTCAGTGAGAGACTGATTCTGCTTCAGCATCATGTCTTTATGTTGGTCCGGCCGGAGGAGTTTCTCCATATCACACACACACACACACACACACACACACACCTCTCTGAGGGAAAGGGAAAAACCCTAAGCAGAGTCAGCATTGACAACATTCTCCACACCTTGCTCTTCCTCGTCCTCATCCTCTTCCTGATTGTTTCCCTCCTCTTACTCATCATCTTCCTTCTCTCCCTCTTATAGTATATTGTTTCCATCCATTGTTGGTATCAACATCCATCCATTGTTGGTATCAACATCCAGTGCAACATTTTGAGTCAATTGTGGGACTCTGAACTGACTTGTATTAGGCTATGTACAGTTGGTTTGGACACATCATTAGAAATATATGTGAACAATTGTGAGTCGTGTGTAAACGGTGACAAAGCTGTGTTGTAGTTGCGTTTAACTTTCACCTACCGGTGTTTAGCATTTTGAAACAAGTGCATCACAGTGCGAAATAGCCGAATCTTTTAGTGAGTGAGAATGTGTTTAGAGTTTAAAAAAAAAAGAGTAGGCCTACATGAGATTTGAAAACAGTGTTTTATTTGCAAAGAGTGATTTATTCGACAAATTGGTTTAGGCTATTGAGAATTTGGTTCACAGAATGGGGTTTAGTGTTTTAGCAATTCAGAAAAACTGTAGTTCCAATACCCAACGCTAGAACGCTTAAGTAAGTGGCACCACCTAAGGGACAGAAACTCTCACTGCTGTCAAAACACCAATGGAGAAACATCAGAAACACTGAGGAAACTTCGAAGCCCGTTTCCGTTACTCGATAAACAATCATCCTTCGGATAATCATAATAATGAGATAAAAAGACGAAGTTATTAAAATCTACATCGAAATGATTGTTAAAAAGTTGAAATTGTGAGAAGAAGTGTAGACATAGAGATATTATAATGTCGACGTTTTGTTAAAATTTTTACTTTTAATCTTACAGTTACGATTTGGCATGCCATCGACTTTAAATCTCATAATAACTTACTGTCTTAATTTCTACTTCGTAATGTCATAATTTCTACTGTATAATGTCATGAATTGAGTCATAATTAAGATTTACCAATAAAACATGATTTGTTTAAAATGGGCTTCTGTAATACTAATCACCAGGTAATCACACGTTACATGATTAATTAATTATATGTGTAACTGGTCACATGACACAACGTGCACATGTCATGAATTTTTAATCAGAGAGAGAGAGAGAGAGAGAGAGAGAGAGAGAGAGAGAGAGAGAGAGAGAGAGAGAGAGAGAGACACACACACACACACACACACACACACACTCTCTGAATTAAATTGTTCAATAAAATTAATCAAAATTGATTGTTCTACTTATTATCTTTTTATTGTATGTACATGTATGTTGATTCGCCGTAAACATTAGAAATGCTTTGATCGTCGTTGTACAATATTATAAAGATCGTCATGCCAGTAAAGCAAATTTTAAACGGATAAATAAGCAGTTTCATATAACTTGTCTTTACACTGGAGTGCGAACTTTACAGTCGAAGACGAATAAAAACATTTGAGCCTGAGCCACGACGACCAGCGTGCGTCTACTTTGCGTCTGATTGCGTCATCACGCCGCGTGCGTGTCCCACGTGCAGATGTTTACGTCCTCCTCTCGGTGACGTCAGAGCCCAGTCGTCGACTCGTCGGATGAGAAACATTCGCGATGTTAAAGATGCGGATTAGCGCACAAAAGGCCTCGCTAAAGGCAGGTGACGCGACGCGCTTAGGTGTGCCGCGCGAACGACGTACGCGTTAACGAACGACAAAACTGAGGGGAAATTTATACTATTAGCGGATGGTTTGAGTGTGTTTCTCCGCGTCCGTTACTCCGGCCTTTCTTCTCCTCAGTCTCACTCAGTTCCGCTCGGTTCAGGCTTTTCTTTGTTTACTCTGATGTCATTCGCAATGGAGGACGCGCTAGAGTCCGGATGGGTTTCGGTCAAACCCAATGTTTTCGAGGAGAAGGAGAAGCACAAGTTCGTGTTCATCGTCGCCTGGAACGAGATCGAAGGAAAGTTCGCGGTCACGTGCCACGACAGAACCGTGCAGAAGCGGA